TGCGCCTGACCTTCCTGGTGCTGACCCAGGGCTCCCTGGTGCTCCAGATGAGGGTAAGCTGGCTCCTGATGCTGTGACACCAGTCCCTCTGGCTCCAGGGAATTGGACAGTTGTTCCTGAACCTGCCCCAGGGCTTGCAGGTGCTGCTGACCCTCCTGGGGATGACCCAGGGGTCACTGCTCCTCCAGATAAAGGTACACTGGTTCCAGACCTTAGCAAACTAGGCCCTGTTGCTCCAGACAATGTGACCGTTGACTCGGAACTGACCGGGGGTCTTGCCCTTGCTTCTGGGCTTATGCTGGCTGACGCAGGGGTCCCAGGCGCTCCAGATAAAGGTGTGCTGGCTCCTGATCCGGTAACACTTGGCCCTGTGGCTCCAGCCAATGGGGCAGCTGTCGCTGAACCTTCACCACCTGCTCCAGCTGCTTGCGGACTTCCCGGTGATGATCCAGGGGTCCCCGGTGCTCCAGATAGAGGTACGCGGGTTCCTGATAGAACACTGGCCCTTCTTTCTCCTGATAACGGGGCAGTAGGCGTTGAGCCTGCACCACTCCCTCCAGTGGCTGCAAATCCTCCTTGTGTGGAGCCAGGCAACCCTGACACGGCAGTTGAAGGTGAACTGGCCTCGGATCCCGTGGCCTTGGGGCTTGCCACCCCAGGCAAAAGGGTGGTGGGCTCTGAGACCACACCAGGTGGTTGACTTGTTTCTGATCCTCCGGGCACTGACGAACTGCTCTCCGATGTTTCACCTGGAGGCAGGCTGGTTCCGAACCCGACAGCAGTCGTCCTCGCAGCTCCCGACGGTGTGGCCGTTGGCTGGGAACCGACGCCAGGTGTCCCAGCTACTGCTGACCCTCCGGTCGTGGATCCAGCTGTGGCTGGTATTCCAGATGAGGGGAACCGGGCGCCTGATTGTCCAGCATTAGTCCCTGTTGCTCCAGATGATGGGACAGTGGGCTGAGAACCTTCACCAGATACTGCAGTTGCGCCTGACCTTCCTGGTGCTGACCCAGGGCTCCCTGGTGCTCCAGATGAGGGTAAGCTGGCTCCTGATGCTGTGACACCAGTCCCTCTGGCTCCAGGGAATTGGACAGTTGTTCCTGAACCTGCCCCAGGGCTTGCAGGTGCTGCTGACCCTCCTGGGGATGACCCAGGGGTCACTGCTCCTCCAGATAAAGGTACACTGGTTCCAGACCTTAGCAAACTAGGCCCTGTTGCTCCAGACAATGTGACCGTTGACTCGGAACTGACCGGGGGTCTTGCCCTTGCTTCTGGGCTTATGCTGGCTGACGCAGGGGTCCCAGGCGCTCCAGATAAAGGTGTGCTGGCTCCTGATCCGGTAACACTTGGCCCTGTGGCTCCAGCCAATGGGGCAGCTGTCGCTGAACCTTCACCACCTGCTCCAGCTGCTTGCGGACTTCCCGGTGATGATCCAGGGGTCCCCGGTGCTCCAGATAGAGGTACGCGGGTTCCTGATAGAACACTGGCCCTTCTTTCTCCTGATAACGGGGCAGTAGGCGTTGAGCCTGCACCACTCCCTCCAGTGGCTGCAAATCCTCCTTGTGTGGAGCCAGGCAACCCTGACACGGCAGTTGAAGGTGAACTGGCCTCGGATCCCGTGGCCTTGGGGCTTGCCACCCCAGGCAAAAGGGTGGTGGGCTCTGAGACCACACCAGGTGGTTGACTTGTTTCTGATCCTCCGGGCACTGACGAACTGCTCTCCGATGTTTCACCTGGAGGCAGGCTGGTTCCGAACCCGACAGCAGTCGTCCTCGCAGCTCCCGACGGTGTGGCCGTTGGCTGGGAACCGACGCCAGGTGTCCCAGCTACTGCTGACCCTCCGGTCGTGGATCCAGCTGTGGCTGGTATTCCAGATGAGGGGAACCGGGCGCCTGATTGTCCAGCATTAGTCCCTGTTGCTCCAGATGATGGGACAGTGGGCTGAGAACCTTCACCAGATACTGCAGTTGCGCCTGACCTTCCTGGTGCTGACCCAGGGCTCCCTGGTGCTCCAGATGAGGGTAAGCTGGCTCCTGATGCTGTGACACCAGTCCCTCTGGCTCCAGGGAATTGGACAGTTGTTCCTGAACCTGCCCCAGGGCTTGCAGGTGCTGCTGACCCTCCTGGGGATGACCCAGGGGTCACTGCTCCTCCAGATAAAGGTACACTGGTTCCAGACCTTAGCAAACTAGGCCCTGTTGCTCCAGACAATGTGACCGTTGACTCGGAACTGACCGGGGGTCTTGCCCTTGCTTCTGGGCTTATGCTGGCTGACGCAGGGGTCCCAGGCGCTCCAGATAAAGGTGTGCTGGCTCCTGATCCGGTAACACTTGGCCCTGTGGCTCCAGCCAATGGGGCAGCTGTCGCTGAACCTTCACCACCTGCTCCAGCTGCTTGCGGACTTCCCGGTGATGATCCAGGGGTCCCCGGTGCTCCAGATAGAGGTACGCGGGTTCCTGATAGAACACTGGCCCTTCTTTCTCCTGATAACGGGGCAGTAGGCGTTGAGCCTGCACCACTCCCTCCAGTGGCTGCAAATCCTCCTTGTGTGGAGCCAGGCAACCCTGACACGGCAGTTGAAGGTGAACTGGCCTCGGATCCCGTGGCCTTGGGGCTTGCCACCCCAGGCAAAAGGGTGGTGGGCTCTGAGACCACACCAGGTGGTTGACTTGTTTCTGATCCTCCGGGCACTGACGAACTGCTCTCCGATGTTTCACCTGGAGGCAGGCTGGTTCCGAACCCGACAGCAGTCGTCCTCGCAGCTCCCGACGGTGTGGCCGTTGGCTGGGAACCGACGCCAGGTGTCCCAGCTACTGCTGACCCTCCGGTCGTGGATCCAGCTGTGGCTGGTATTCCAGATGAGGGGAACCGGGCGCCTGATTGTCCAGCATTAGTCCCTGTTGCTCCAGATGATGGGACAGTGGGCTGAGAACCTTCACCAGATACTGCAGTTGCGCCTGACCTTCCTGGTGCTGACCCAGGGCTCCCTGGTGCTCCAGATGAGGGTAAGCTGGCTCCTGATGCTGTGACACCAGTCCCTCTGGCTCCAGGGAATTGGACAGTTGTTCCTGAACCTGCCCCAGGGCTTGCAGGTGCTGCTGACCCTCCTGGGGATGACCCAGGGGTCACTGCTCCTCCAGATAAAGGTACACTGGTTCCAGACCTTAGCAAACTAGGCCCTGTTGCTCCAGACAATGTGACCGTTGACTCGGAACTGACCGGGGGTCTTGCCCTTGCTTCTGGGCTTATGCTGGCTGACGCAGGGGTCCCAGGCGCTCCAGATAAAGGTGTGCTGGCTCCTGATCCGGTAACACTTGGCCCTGTGGCTCCAGCCAATGGGGCAGCTGTCGCTGAACCTTCACCACCTGCTCCAGCTGCTTGCGGACTTCCCGGTGATGATCCAGGGGTCCCCGGTGCTCCAGATAGAGGTATGCGGGTTCCTGATAGAACACTGGCCCTTCTTTCTCCTGATAACGGGGCAGTAGGCGTTGAGCCTGCACCACTCCCTCCAGTGGCTGCAAATCCTCCTTGTGTGGAGCCAGGCAACCCTGACACGGCAGTTGAAGGTGAACTGGCCTCGGATCCCATGGCCTTGGGGCTTGCCACCCCAGGCAAAAGGGTGGTGGGCTCTGAGACCACACCAGGTGGTTGACTTGTTTCTGATCCTCCGGGCACTGACGAACTGCTCTCCGATGTTTCACCTGGAGGCAGGCTGGTTCCGAACCCGACAGCAGTCGTCCTCGCAGCTCCCGACGGTGTGGCCGTTGGCTGGGAACCGACGCCAGGTGTCCCAGCTACTGCTGACCCTCCGGTCGTGGATCCAGCTGTGGCTGGTATTCCAGATGAGGGGAACCGGGCGCCTGATTGTCCAGCATTAGTCCCTGTTGCTCCAGATGATGGGACAGTGGGCTGAGAACCTTCACCAGATACTGCAGTTGCGCCTGACCTTCCTGGTGCTGACCCAGGGCTCCCTGGTGCTCCAGATGAGGGTAAGCTGGCTCCTGATGCTGTGACACCAGTCCCTCTGGCTCCAGGGAATTGGACAGTTGTTCCTGAACCTGCCCCAGGGCTTGCAGGTGCTGCTGACCCTCCTGGGGATGACCCAGGGGTCACTGCTCCTCCAGATAAAGGTACACTGGTTCCAGACCTTAGCAAACTAGGCCCTGTTGCTCCAGACAATGTGACCGTTGACTCGGAACTGACCGGGGGTCTTGCCCTTGCTTCTGGGCTTATGCTGGCTGACGCACGGGTCCCAGGCGCTCCAGATAAAGGTGTGCTGGCTCCTGATCCGGTAACACTTGGCCCTGTGGCTCCAGCCAATGGGGCAGCTGTCGCTGAACCTTCACCACCTGCTCCAGCTGCTTGCGGACTTCCCGGTGATGATCCAGGGGTCCCCGGTGCTCCAGATAGAGGTACGCGGGTTCCTGATAGAACACTGGCCCTTCTTTCTCCTGATAACGGGGCAGTAGGCGTTGAGCCTGCACCACTCCCTCCAGTGGCTGCAAATCCTCCTTGTGTGGAGCCAGGCAACCCTGACACGGCAGTTGAAGGTGAACTGGCCTCGGATCCCGTGGCCTTGGGGCTTGCCACCCCAGGCAAAAGGGTGGTGGGCTCTGAGACCACACCAGGTGGTTGACTTGTTTCTGATCCTCCGGGCACTGACGAACTGCTCTCCGATGTTTCACCTGGAGGCAGGCTGGTTCCGAACCCGACAGCAGTCGTCCTCGCAGCTCCCGACGGTGTGGCCGTTGGCTGGGAACCGACGCCAGGTGTCCCAGCTACTGCTGACCCTCCGGTCGTGGATCCAGCTGTGGCTGGTATTCCAGATGAGGGGAACCGGGCGCCTGATTGTCCAGCATTAGTCCCTGTTGCTCCAGATGATGGGACAGTGGGCTGAGAACCTTCACCAGATACTGCAGTTGCGCCTGACCTTCCTGGTGCTGACCCAGGGCTCCCTGGTGCTCCAGATGAGGGTAAGCTGGCTCCTGATGCTGTGACACCAGTCCCTCTGGCTCCAGGGAATTGGACAGTTGTTCCTGAACCTGCCCCAGGGCTTGCAGGTGCTGCTGACCCTCCTGGGGATGACCCAGGGGTCACTGCTCCTCCAGATAAAGGTACACTGGTTCCAGACCTTAGCAAACTAGGCCCTGTTGCTCCAGACAATGTGACCGTTGACTCGGAACTGACCGGGGGTCTTGCCCTTGCTTCTGGGCTTATGCTGGCTGACGCAGGGGTCCCAGGCGCTCCAGATAAAGGTGTGCTGGCTCCTGATCCGGTAACACTTGGCCCTGTGGCTCCAGCCAATGGGGCAGCTGTCGCTGAACCTTCACCACCTGCTCCAGCTGCTTGCGGACTTCCCGGTGATGATCCAGGGGTCCCCGGTGCTCCAGATAGAGGTACGCGGGTTCCTGATAGAACACTGGCCCTTCTTTCTCCTGATAACGGGGCAGTAGGCGTTGAGCCTGCACCACTCCCTCCAGTGGCTGCAAATCCTCCTTGTGTGGAGCCAGGCAACCCTGACACGGCAGTTGAAGGTGAACTGGCCTCGGATCCCGTGGCCTTGGGGCTTGCCACCCCAGGCAAAAGGGTGGTGGGCTCTGAGACCACACCAGGTGGTTGACTTGTTTCTGATCCTCCGGGCACTGACGAACTGCTCTCCGATGTTTCACCTGGAGGCAGGCTGGTTCCGAACCCGACAGCAGTCGTCCTCGCAGCTCCCGACGGTGTGGCCGTTGGCTGGGAACCGACGCCAGGTGTCCCAGCTACTGCTGACCCTCCGGTCGTGGATCCAGCTGTGGCTGGTATTCCAGATGAGGGGAACCGGGCGCCTGATTGTCCAGCATTAGTCCCTGTTGCTCCAGATGATGGGACAGTGGGCTGAGAACCTTCACCAGATACTGCAGTTGCGCCTGACCTTCCTGGTGCTGACCCAGGGCTCCCTGGTGCTCCAGATGAGGGTAAGCTGGCTCCTGATGCTGTGACACCAGTCCCTCTGGCTCCAGGGAATTGGACAGTTGTTCCTGAACCTGCCCCAGGGCTTGCAGGTGCTGCTGACCCTCCTGGGGATGACCCAGGGGTCACTGCTCCTCCAGATAAAGGTACACTGGTTCCAGACCTTAGCAAACTAGGCCCTGTTGCTCCAGACAATGTGACCGTTGACTCGGAACTGACCGGGGGTCTTGCCCTTGCTTCTGGGCTTATGCTGGCTGACGCAGGGGTCCCAGGCGCTCCAGATAAAGGTGTGCTGGCTCCTGATCCGGTAACACTTGGCCCTGTGGCTCCAGCCAATGGGGCAGCTGTCGCTGAACCTTCACCACCTGCTCCAGCTGCTTGCGGACTTCCCGGTGATGATCCAGGGGTCCCCGGAGCTCCAGATAGAGGTACGCGGGTTTCTGATAGAACACTGGCCCTTCTTTCTCCTGATAACGGGGCAGTAGGCGTTGAGCCTGCACCACTCCCTCCAGTGGCTGCAAATCCTCCTTGTGTGGAGCCAGGCAACCCTGACACGGCAGTTGAAGGTGAACTGGCCTCGGATCCCGTGGCCTTGGGGCTTGCCACCCCAGGCAAAAGGGTGGTGGGCTCTGAGACCACACCAGGTGGTTGACTTGTTTCTGATCCTCCGGGCACTGACGAACTGCTCTCCGACGTTTCACCTGGAGGCAGGCTGGTTCCGAACCCGACAGCAGTCGTCCTCGCAGCTCCCGACGGTGTGGCCGTTGGCTGGGAACCGACGCCAGGTGTCCCAGCTACTGCTGACCCTCCGGTCGTGGATCCAGCTGTGGCTGGTATTCCAGATGAGGGGAACCGGGTGCCTGATTGTCCAGCATTAGTCCCTGTTGCTCCAGATGATGGGACAGTGGGCTGAGAACCTTCACCAGATACTGCAGTTGCGCCTGACCTTCCTGGTGCTGACCCAGGGCTCCCTGGTGCTCCAGATGAGGGTAAGCTGGCTCCTGATGCTGTGACACCAGTCCCTCTGGCTCCAGGGAATTGGACAGTTGTTCCTGAACCTGCCCCAGGGCTTGCAGGTGCTGCTGACCCTCCTGGGGATGACCCAGGGGTCACTGCTCCTCCAGATAAAGGTACACTGGTTCCAGACCTTAGCAAACTAGGCCCTGTTGCTCCAGACAATGTGACCGTTGACTCGGAACTGACCGGGGGTCTTGCCCTTGCTTCTGGGCTTATGCTGGCTGACGCAGGGGTCCCAGGCGCTCCAGATAAAGGTGTGCTGGCTCCTGATCCGGTAACACTTGGCCCTGTGGCTCCAGCCAATGGGGCAGCTGTCGCTGAACCTTCACCACCTGCTCCAGCTGCTTGCGGACTTCCCGGTGATGATCCAGGGGTCCCCGGTGCTCCAGATAGAGGTACGCGGGTTCCTGATAGAACACTGGCCCTTCTTTCTCCTGATAACGGGGCAGTAGGCGTTGAGCCTGCACCACTCCCTCCAGTGGCTGCAAATCCTCCTTGTGTGGAGCCAGGCAACCCTGACACGGCAGTTGAAGGTGAACTGGCCTCGGATCCCGTGGCCTTGGGGCTTGCCACCCCAGGCAAAAGGGTGGTGGGCTCTGAGACCACACCAGGTGGTTGACTTGTTTCTGATCCTCCGGGCACTGACGAACTGCTCTCCGACGTTTCACCTGGAGGCAGGCTGGTTCCGAACCCGACAGCAGTCGTCCTCGCAGCTCCCGACGGTGTGGCCGTTGGCTGGGAACCGACGCCAGGTGTCCCAGCTACTGCTGACCCTCCGGTCGTGGATCCAGCTGTGGCTGGTATTCCAGATGAGGGGAACCGGGCGCCTGATTGTCCAGCATTAGTCCCTGTTGCTCCAGATGATGGGACAGTGGGCTGAGAACCTTCACCAGATACTGCAGTTGCGCCTGACCTTCCTGGTGCTGACCCAGGGCTCCCTGGTGCTCCAGATGAGGGTAAGCTGGCTCCTGATGCTGTGACACCAGTCCCTCTGGCTCCAGGGAATTGGACAGTTGTTCCTGAACCTGCCCCAGGGCTTGCAGGTGCTGCTGACCCTCCTGGGGATGACCCAGGGGTCACTGCTCCTCCAGATAAAGGTACACTGGTTCCAGACCTTAGCAAACTAGGCCCTGTTGCTCCAGACAATGTGACCGTTGACTCGGAACTGACCGGGGGTCTTGCCCTTGCTTCTGGGCTTATGCTGGCTGACGCAGGGGTCCCAGGCGCTCCAGATAAAGGTGTGCTGGCTCCTGATCCGGTAACACTTGGCCCTGTGGCTCCAGCCAATGGGGCAGCTGTCGCTGAACCTTCACCACCTGCTCCAGCTGCTTGCGGACTTCCCGGTGATGATCCAGGGGTCCCCGGTGCTCCAGATAGAGGTACGCGGGTTCCTGATAGAACACTGGCCCTTCTTTCTCCTGATAACGGGGCAGTAGGCGTTGAGCCTGCACCACTCCCTCCAGTGGCTGCAAATCCTCCTTGTGTGGAGCCAGGCAACCCTGACACGGCAGTTGAAGGTGAACTGGCCTCGGATCCCGTGGCCTTGGGGCTTGCCACCCCAGGCAAAAGGGTGGTGGGCTCTGAGACCACACCAGGTGGTTGACTTGTTTCTGATCCTCCGGGCACTGACGAACTGCTCTCCGATGTTTCACCTGGAGGCAGGCTGGTTCCGAACCCGACAGCAGTCGTCCTCGCAGCTCCCGACGGTGTGGCCGTTGGCTGGGAACCGACGCCAGGTGTCCCAGCTACTGCTGACCCTCCGGTCGTGGATCCAGCTGTGGCTGGTATTCCAGATGAGGGGAACCGGGCGCCTGATTGTCCAGCATTAGTCCCTGTTGCTCCAGATGATGGGACAGTGGGCTGAGAACCTTCACCAGATACTGCAGTTGCGCCTGACCTTCCTGGTGCTGACCCAGGGCTCCCTGGTGCTCCAGATGAGGGTAAGCTGGCTCCTGATGCTGTGACACCAGTCCCTCTGGCTCCAGGGAATTGGACAGTTGTTCCTGAACCTGCCCCAGGGCTTGCAGGTGCTGCTGACCCTCCTGGGGATGACCCAGGGGTCACTGCTCCTCCAGATAAAGGTACACTGGTTCCAGACCTTAGCAAACTAGGCCCTGTTGCTCCAGACAATGTGACCGTTGACTCGGAACTGACCGGGGGTCTTGCCCTTGCTTCTGGGCTTATGCTGGCTGACGCAGGGGTCCCAGGCGCTCCAGATAAAGGTGTGCTGGCTCCTGATCCGGTAACACTTGGCCCTGTGGCTCCAGCCAATGGGGCAGCTGTCGCTGAACCTTCACCACCTGCTCCAGCTGCTTGCGGACTTCCCGGTGATGATCCAGGGGTCCCCGGTGCTCCAGATAGAGGTACGCGGGTTCCTGATAGAACACTGGCCCTTCTTTCTCCTGATAACGGGGCAGTAGGCGTTGAGCCTGCACCACTCCCTCCAGTGGCTGCAAATCCTCCTTGTGTGGAGCCAGGCAACCCTGACACGGCAGTTGAAGGTGAACTGGCCTCGGATCCCGTGGCCTTGGGGCTTGCCACCCCAGGCAAAAGGGTGGTGGGCTCTGAGACCACACCAGGTGGTTGACTTGTTTCTGATCCTCCGGGCACTGACGAAGTGCTCTCCGACGTTTCACCTGGAGGCAGGCTGGTTCCGAACCCGACAGCAGTCGTCCTCGCAGCTCCCGACGGTGTGGCCGTTGGCTGGGAACCGACGCCAGGTGTCCCAGCTACTGCTGACCCTCCGGTCGTGGATCCAGCTGTGGCTGGTATTCCAGATGAGGGGAACCGGGCGCCTGATTGTCCAGCATTAGTCCCTGTTGCTCCAGATGATGGGACAGTGGGCTGAGAACCTTCACCAGATACTGCAGTTGCGCCTGACCTTCCTGGTGCTGACCCAGGGCTCCCTGGTGCTCCAGATGAGGGTAAGCTGGCTCCTGATGCTGTGACACCAGTCCCTCTGGCTCCAGGGAATTGGACAGTTGTTCCTGAACCTGCCCCAGGGCTTGCAGGTGCTGCTGACCCTCCTGGGGATGACCCAGGGGTCACTGCTCCTCCAGATAAAGGTACACTGGTTCCAGACCTTAGCAAACTAGGCCCTGTTGCTCCAGACAATGTGACCGTTGACTCGGAACTGACCGGGGGTCTTGCCCTTGCTTCTGGGCTTATGCTGGCTGACGCAGGGGTCCCAGGCGCTCCAGATAAAGGTGTGCTGGCTCCTGATCCGGTAACACTTGGCCCTGTGGCTCCAGCCAATGGGGCAGCTGTCGCTGAACCTTCACCACCTGCTCCAGCTGCTTGCGGACTTCCCGGTGATGATCCAGGGGTCCCCGGTGCTCCAGATAGAGGTACGCGGGTTCCTGATAGAACACTGGCCCTTCTTTCTCCTGATAACGGGGCAGTAGGCGTTGAGCCTGCACCACTCCCTCCAGTGGCTGCAAATCCTCCTTGTGTGGAGCCAGGCAACCCTGACACGGCAGTTGAAGGTGAACTGGCCTCGGATCCCGTGGCCTTGGGGCTTGCCACCCCAGGCAAAAGGGTGGTGGGCTCTGAGACCACACCAGGTGGTTGACTTGTTTCTGATCCTCCGGGCACTGACGAAGTGCTCTCCGATGTTTCACCTGGAGGCAGGCTGGTTCCGAACCCGACAGCAGTCGTCCTCGCAGCTCCCGACGGTGTGGCCGTTGGCTGGGAACCGACGCCAGGTGTCCCAGCTACTGCTGACCCTCCGGTCGTGGATCCAGCTGTGGCTGGTATTCCAGATGAGGGGAACCAGGCGCCTGATTGTCCAGCATTAGTCCCTGTTGCTCCAGATGATGGGACAGTGGGCTGAGAACCTTCACCAGATACTGCAGTTGCGCCTGACCTTCCTGGTGCTGACCCAGGGCTCCCTGGTGCTCCAGATGAGGGTAAGCTGGCTCCTGATGCTGTGACACCAGTCCCTCTGGCTCCAGGGAATTGGACAGTTGTTCCTGAACCTGCCCCAGGGCTTGCAGGTGCTGCTGACCCTCCTGGGGATGACCCAGGGGTCACTGCTCCTCCAGATAAAGGTACACTGGTTCCAGACCTTAGCAAACTAGGCCCTGTTGCTCCAGACAATGTGACCGTTGACTCGGAACTGACCGGGGGTCTTGCCCTTGCTTCTGGGCTTATGCTGGCTGACGCAGGGGTCCCAGGCGCTCCAGATAAAGGTGTGCTGGCTCCTGATCCGGTAACACTTGGCCCTGTGGCTCCAGCCAATGGGGCAGCTGTCGCTGAACCTTCACCACCTGCTCCAGCTGCTTGCGGACTTCCCGGTGATGATCCAGGGGTCCCCGGTGCTCCAGATAGAGGTACGCGGGTTCCTGATAGAACACTGGCCCTTCTTTCTCCTGATAACGGGGCAGTAGGCGTTGAGCCTGCACCACTCCCTCCAGTGGCTGCAAATCCTCCTTGTGTGGAGCCAGGCAACCCTGACACGGCAGTTGAAGGTGAACTGGCCTCGGATCCCGTGGCCTTGGGGCTTGCCACCCCAGGCAAAAGGGTGGTGGGCTCTGAGACCACACCAGGTGGTTGACTTGTTTCTGATCCTCCGGGCACTGACGAACTGCTCTCCGATGTTTCACCTGGAGGCAGGCTGGTTCCGAACCCGACAGCAGTCGTCCTCGCAGCTCCCGACGGTGTGGCCGTTGGCTGGGAACCGACGCCAGGTGTCCCAGCTACTGCTGACCCTCCGGTCGTGGATCCAGCTGTGGCTGGTATTCCAGATGAGGGGAACCGGGTGCCTGATTGTCCAGCATTAGTCCCTGTTGCTCCAGATGATGGGACAGTGGGCTGAGAACCTTCACCAGATACTGCAGTTGCGCCTGACCTTCCTGGTGCTGACCCAGGGCTCCCTGGTGCTCCAGATGAGGGTAAGCTGGCTCCTGATGCTGTGACACCAGTCCCTCTGGCTCCAGGGAATTGGACAGTTGTTCCTGAACCTGCCCCAGGGCTTGCAGGTGCTGCTGACCCTCCTGGGGATGACCCAGGGGTCACTGCTCCTCCAGATAAAGGTACACTGGTTCCAGACCTTAGCAAACTAGGCCCTGTTGCTCCAGACAATGTGACCGTTGACTCGGAACTGACCGGGGGTCTTGCCCTTGCTTCTGGGCTTATGCTGGCTGACGCAGGGGTCCCAGGCGCTCCAGATAAAGGTGTGCTGGCTCCTGATCCGGTAACACTTGGCCCTGTGGCTCCAGCCAATGGGGCAGCTGTCGCTGAACCTTCACCACCTGCTCCAGCTGCTTGCGGACTTCCCGGTGATGATCCAGGGGTCCCCGGTGCTCCAGATAGAGGTACGCGGGTTCCTGATAGAACACTGGCCCTTCTTTCTCCTGATAACGGGGCAGTAGGCGTTGAGCCTGCACCACTCCCTCCAGTGGCTGCAAATCCTCCTTGTGTGGAGCCAGGCAACCCTGACACGGCAGTTGAAGGTGAACTGGCCTCGGATCCCGTGGCCTTGGGGCTTGCCACCCCAGGCAAAAGGGTGGTGGGCTCTGAGACCACACCAGGTGGTTGACTTGTTTCTGATCCTCCGGGCACTGACGAACTGCTCTCCGATGTTTCACCTGGAGGCAGGCTGGTTCCGAACCCGACAGCAGTCGTCCTCGCAGCTCCCGACGGTGTGGCCGTTGGCTGGGAACCGACGCCAGGTGTCCCAGCTACTGCTGACCCTCCGGTCGTGGATCCAGCTGTGGCTGGTATTCCAGATGAGGGGAACCGGGCGCCTGATTGTCCAGCATTAGTCCCTGTTGCTCCAGATGATGGGACAGTGGGCTGAGAACCTTCACCAGATACTGCAGTTGCGCCTGACCTTCCTGGTGCTGACCCAGGGCTCCCTGGTGCTCCAGATGAGGGTAAGCTGGCTCCTGATGCTGTGACACCAGTCCCTCTGGCTCCAGGGAATTGGACAGTTGTTCCTGAACCTGCCCCAGGGCTTGCAGGTGCTGCTGACCCTCCTGGGGATGACCCAGGGGTCACTGCTCCTCCAGATAAAGGTACACTGGTTCCAGACCTTAGCAAACTAGGCCCTGTTGCTCCAGACAATGTGACCGTTGACTCGGAACTGACCGGGGGTCTTGCCCTTGCTTCTGGGCTTATGCTGGCTGACGCAGGGGTCCCAGGCGCTCCAGATAAAGGTGTGCTGGCTCCTGATCCGGTAACACTTGGCCCTGTGGCTCCAGCCAATGGGGCAGCTGTCGCTGAACCTTCACCACCTGCTCCAGCTGCTTGCGGACTTCCCGGTGATGATCCAGGGGTCCCCGGAGCTCCAGATAGAGGTACGCGGGTTTCTGATAGAACACTGGCCCTTCTTTCTCCTGATAACGGGGCAGTAGGCGTTGAGCCTGCACCACTCCCTCCAGTGGCTGCAAATCCTCCTTGTGTGGAGCCAGGCAACCCTGACACGGCAGTTGAAGGTGAACTGGCCTCGGATCCCGTGGCCTTGGGGCTTGCCACCCCAGGCAAAAGGGTGGTGGGCTCTGAGACCACACCAGGTGGTTGACTTGTTTCTGATCCTCCGGGCACTGACGAACTGCTCTCCGACGTTTCACCTGGAGGCAGGCTGGTTCCGAACCCGACAGCAGTCGTCCTCGCAGCTCCCGACGGTGTGGCCGTTGGCTGGGAACCGACGCCAGGTGTCCCAGCTACTGCTGACCCTCCGGTCGTGGATCCAGCTGTGGCTGGTATTCCAGATGAGGGGAACCGGGCGCCTGATTGTCCAGCATTAGTCCCTGTTGCTCCAGATGATGGGACAGTGGGCTGAGAACCTTCACCAGATACTGCAGTTGCGCCTGACCTTCCTGGTGCTGACCCAGGGCTCCCTGGTGCTCCAGATGAGGGTAAGCTGGCTCCTGATGCTGTGACACCAGTCCCTCTGGCTCCAGGGAATTGGACAGTTGTTCCTGAACCTGCCCCAGGGCTTGCAGGTGCTGCTGACCCTCCTGGGGATGACCCAGGGGTCACTGCTCCTCCAGATAAAGGTACACTGGTTCCAGACCTTAGCAAACTAGGCCCTGTTGCTCCAGACAATGTGACCGTTGACTCGGAACTGACCGGGGGTCTTGCCCTTGCTTCTGGGCTTATGCTGGCTGACGCAGGGGTCCCAGGCGCTCCAGATAAAGGTGTGCTGGCTCCTGATCCGGTAACACTTGGCCCTGTGGCTCCAGCCAATGGGGCAGCTGTCGCTGAACCTTCACCACCTGCTCCAGCTGCTTGCGGACTTCCCGGTGATGATCCAGGGGTCCCCGGTGCTCCAGATAGAGGTACGCGGGTTCCTGATAGAACACTGGCCCTTCTTTCTCCTGATAACGGGGCAGTAGGCGTTGAGCCTGCACCACTCCCTCCAGTGGCTGCAAATCCTCCTTGTGTGGAGCCAGGCAACCCTGACACGGCAGTTGAAGATGAACTGGCCTCGGATCCCGTGGCCTTGGGGCTTGCCACCCCAGGCAAAAGGGTGGTGGGCTCTGAGACCACACCAGGTGGTTGACTTGTTTCTGATCCTCCGGGCACTGACGAACTGCTCTCCGACGTTTCACCTGGAGGCAGGCTGGTTCCGAACCCGACAGCAGTCGTCCTCGCAGCTCCCGACGGTGTGGCCGTTGGCTGGGAACCGACGCCAGGTGTCCCAGCTACTGCTGACCCTCCGGTCGTGGATCCAGCTGTGGCTGGTATTCCAGATGAGGGGAACCGGGCGCCTGATTGTCCAGCATTAGTCCCTGTTGCTCCAGATGATGGGACAGTGGGCTGAGAACCTTCACCAGATACTGCAGTTGCGCCTGACCTTCCTGGTGCTGACCCAGGGCTCCCTGGTGCTCCAGATGAGGGTAAGCTGGCTCCTGATGCTGTGACACCAGTCCCTCTGGCTCCAGGGAATTGGACAGTTGTTCCTGAACCTGCCCCAGGGCTTGCAGGTGCTGCTGACCCTCCTGGGGATGACCCAGGGGTCACTGCTCCTCCAGATAAAGGTACACTGGTTCCAGACCTTAGCAAACTAGGCCCTGTTGCTCCAGACAATGTGACCGTTGACTCGGAACTGACCGGGGGTCTTGCCCTTGCTTCTGGGCTTATGCTGGCTGACGCAGGGGTCCCAGGCGCTCCAGATAAAGGTGTGCTGGCTCCTGATCCGGTAACACTTGGCCCTGTGGCTCCAGCCAATGGGGCAGCTGTCGCTGAACCTTCACCACCTGCTCCAGCTGCTTGCGGACTTCCCGGTGATGATCCAGGGGTCCCCGGTGCTCCAGATAGAGGTACGCGGGTTCCTGATAGAACACTGGCCCTTCTTTCTCCTGATAACGGGGCAGTAGGCGTTGAGCCTGCACCACTCCCTCCAGTGGCTGCAAATCCTCCTTGTGTGGAGCCAGGCAACCCTGACACGGCAGTTGAAGGTGAACTGGCCTCGGATCCCGTGGCCTTGGGGCTTGCCACCCCAGGCAAAAGGGTGGTGGGCTCTGAGACCACACCAGGTGGTTGACTTGTTTCTGATCCTCCGGGCACTGACGAACTGCTCTCCGATGTTTCACCTGGAGGCAGGCTGGTTCCGAACCCGACAGCAGTCGTCCTCGCAGCTCCCGACGGTGTGGCCGTTGGCTGGGAACCGACGCCAGGTGTCCCAGCTACTGCTGACCCTCCGGTCGTGGATCCAGCTGTGGCTGGTATTCCAGATGAGGGGAACCGGGCGCCTGATTGTCCAGCATTAGTCCCTGTTGCTCCAGATGATGGGACAGTGGGCTGAGAACCTTCACCAGATACTGCAGTTGCGCCTGACCTTCCTGGTGCTGACCCAGGGCTCCCTGGTGCTCCAGATGAGGGTAAGCTGGCTCCTGATGCTGTGACACCAGTCCCTCTGGCTCCAGGGAATTGGACAGTTGTTCCTGAACCTGCCCCAGGGCTTGCAGGTGCTGCTGACCCTCCTGGGGATGACCCAGGGGTCACTGCTCCTCCAGATAAAGGTACACTGGTTCCAGACCTTAGCAAACTAGGCCCTGTTGCTCCAGACAATGTGACCGTTGACTCGGAACTGACCGGGGGTCTTGCCCTTGCTTCTGGGCTTATGCTGGCTGACGCAGGGGTCCCAGGCGCTCCAGATAAAGGTGTGCTGGCTCCTGATCCGGTAACACTTGGCCCTGTGGCTCCAGCCAATGGGGCAGCTGTCGCTGAACCTTCACCACCTGCTCCAGCTGCTTGCGGACTTCCCGGTGATGATCCAGGGGTCCCCGGTGCTCCAGATAGAGGTACGCGGGTTCCTGATAGAACACTGGCCCTTCTTTCTCCTGATAACGGGGCAGTAGGCGTTGAGCCTGCACCACTCCCTCCAGTGGCTGCAAATCCTCCTTGTGTGGAGCCAGGCAACCCTGACACGGCAGTTGAAGGTGAACTGGCCTCGGATCCCGTGGCCTTGGGGCTTGCCACCCCAGGCAAAAGGGTGGTGGGCTCTGAGACCACACCAGGTGGTTGACTTGTTTCTGATCCTCCGGGCACTGACGAACTGCTCTCCGATGTTTCACCTGGAGGCAGGCTGGTTCCGAACCCGACAGCAGTCGTCCTCGCAGCTCCCGACGGTGTGGCCGTTGGCTGGGAACCGACGCCAGGTGTCCCAGCTACTGCTGACCCTCCGGTCGTGGATCCAGCTGTGGCTGGTATTCCAGATGAGGGGAACCGGGCGCCTGATTGTCCAGCATTAGTCCCTGTTGCTCCAGATGATGGGACAGTGGGCTGAGAACCTTCACCAGATACTGCAGTTGCGCCTGACCTTCCTGGTGCTGACCCAGGGCTCCCTGGTGCTCCAGATGAGGGTAAGCTGGCTCCTGATGCTGTGACACCAGTCCCTCTGGCTCCAGGGAATTGGACAGTTGTTCCTGAACCTGCCCCAGGGCTTGCAGGTGCTGCTGACCCTCCTGGGGATGACCCAGGGGTCACTGCTCCTCCAGATAAAGGTACACTGGTTCCAGACCTTAGCAAACTAGGCCCTGTTGCTCCAGACAATGTGACCGTTGACTCGGAACTGACCGGAGGTCTTGCCCTTGCTTCTGGGCTTATGCTGGCTGACGCAGGGGTCCCAGGCGCTCCAGATAAAGGTGTGCTGGCTCCTGATCCGGTAACACTTGGCCCTGTGGCTCCAGCCAATGGGGCAGCTGTCGCTGAACCTTCACCACCTGCTCCAGCTGCTTGCGGACTTCCCGGTGATGATCCAGGGGTCCCCGGTGCTCCAGATAGAGGTACGCGGGTTCCTGATAGAACACTGGCCCTTCTTTCTCCTGATAACGGGGCAGTAGGCGTTGAGCCTGCACCACTCCCTCCAGTGGCTGCAAATCCTCCTTGTGTGGAGCCAGGCAACCCTGACACGGCAGTTGAAGGTGAACTGGCCTCGGATCCCGTGGCCTTGGGGCTTGCCACCCCAGGCAAAAGGGTGGTGGGCTCTGAGACCACACCAGGTGGTTGACTTGTTTCTGATCCTCCGGGCACTGACGAACTGCTCTCCGATGTTTCACCTGGAGGCAGGCTGGTTCCGAACCCGACAGCAGTCGTCCTCGCAGCTCCCGACGGTGTGGCCGTTGGCTGGGAACCGACGCCAGGTGTCCCAGCTACTGCTGACCCTCCGGTCGTGGATCCAGCTGTGGCTGGTATTCCAGATGAGGGGAACCGGGCGCCTGATTGTCCAGCATTAGTCCCTGTTGCTCCAGATGATGGGACAGTGGGCTGAGAACCTTCACCAGATACTGCAGTTGCGCCTGACCTTCCTGGTGCTGACCCAGGGCTCCCTGGTGCTCCAGATGAGGGTAAGCTGGCTCCTGATGCTGTGACACCAGTCCCTCTGGCTCCAGGGAATTGGACAGTTGTTCCTGAACCTGCCCCAGGGCTTGCAGGTGCTGCTGACCCTCCTGGGGATGACCCAGGGGTCACTGCTCCTCCAGATAAAGGTACACTGGTTCCAGACCTTAGCAAACTAGGCCCTGTTGCTCCAGACAATGTGACCGTTGACTCGGAACTGACCGGGGGTCTTGCCCTTGCTTCTGGGCTTATGCTGGCTGACGCAGGGGTCCCAGGCGCTCCAGATAAAGGTGTGCTGGCTCCTGATCCGGTAACACTTGGCCCTGTGGCTCCAGCCAATGGGGCAGCTGTCGCTGAACCTTCACCACCTGCTCCAGCTGCTTGCGGACTTCCCGGTGATGATCCAGGGGTCCCCGGTGCTCCAGATAGAGGTACGCGGGTTCCTGATAGAACACTGGCCCTTCTTTCTCCTGATAACGGGGCAGTAGGCGTTGAGCCTGCACCACTCCCTCCAGTGGCTGCAAATCCTCCTTGTGTGGAGCCAGGCAACCCTGACACGGCAGTTGAAGGTGAACTGGCCTCGGATCCCGTGGCCTTGGGGCTTGCCACCCCAGGCAAAAGGGTGGTGGGCTCTGAGACCACACCAGGTGGTTGACTTGTTTCTGATCCTCCGGGCACTGACGAACTGCTCTCCGATGTTTCACCTGGAGGCAGGCTGGTTCCGAACCCGACAGCAGTCGTCCTCGCAGCTCCCGACGGTGTGGCCGTTGGCTGGGAACCGACGCCAGGTGTCCCAGCTACTGCTGACCCTCCGGTCGTGGATCCAGCTGTGGCTGGTATTCCAGATGAGGGGAACCGGGCGCCTGATTGTCCAGCA